CCAGCAACCTGAGCAGCCACCCAACAGAGCCAAAACAGGAGAGTCAGGCGAGGAGTGTGTTGAGTCGGTGCGTGCCTCTGTCAACGCCATGAAGGCAGAGGTCATCGAGAGCATCAAGGAAATGGGACATGGCCCATCCAATCCACCTACACAAGAGGCGAGACGCCCACCGTGGGACAGAAACAGGGGAGACGTGCCGACACAGCGGTCCTTTTATGGCTACTGTGATTGGTGCGAGAAGCAAGGCCACCGATGGCGAGATTGTCGAGAATTCGTCCGAGGCGCCAGACGGCAGCGCGGACACAGACTACACCACAGACAACAGGGGCAAACACAATCAGACTGGAGCCCAATCATGTAGCCCCTCCTGCTCTCACACCACCACCAGCTCACCTGCAGCTGGAAACCGAATAGCTCCTCTGCAGTAGGGCGGGCGAGGGGACACAATAGAAGGAGAGACCGCCCTACACACACCACAAGGGAACCACCAAGTAGTCAGAGCAATGCATGCAGACACTGATTTGTCGCTTACTGATGGAGTGGTGCGTCAAGGTGATGCGCTCTTGCAGGAGCCTGGGAGGACGTTGTCCATGGCAGAAGCGTTGACTGGCCCCCACACTGACCGAGCACTCAGGAATGATAGGAATGGGGTACATAATCCTAGGGTACCCATTGTTGGCTGCGGGAGGCAGCAGGAAGAGGTTTCGGCGTTGGCTCGTGCGTCTACCGCGAGTCGGCGTAAGCGTACAGAGAGAGATCCATCCACTCGTGGCGACCAAGGGGAGAAGGCGGCTACGGCGGCAGCCTGCCTTGGACGTTAGCCCACATGTGTCGATCCGGCTGATGAGTGCCAGCCGATGGAGCGGGATGATGAGACTGCCTTCTTTGGTCGGGCCGCTGGCAGTCCGGAACCCGATCAACAGAGGGAAGAACGGCAGGGTGGCGAGGTTCTTCATGGGCCGAAACCTAATGGACAGAGAGACAAGGATGGTCAGAATGAGGCTAGCAGCACAAGCTGGTGTGGTGG